GGTGTGATTTCCTCGAGTTATTGAGGCCCCCCCTGGACAAGGTCCTGTGCATCCTGGTGTAGGTGACCCTGCTTCGGCAGGGGAGTTGGACTGGGTGACCCACAGAGGTCCCTTCCAACCCCTACTATTCTGTGATTCTGTGGTCCCTCCTCTCTCCAGCTGTCAGCACGCTGTCTGCACTCACCCCTGGACGCACGCTGGCTGCGCCGCTTCCACCACCGCGTATTCCCAGGGCCAGGATCACAGCTGCTTCCAGAGTCCCTCTCGTTACTCCAGCTCTGGGCTGTGGCAGGGCTGGGGGGCCCCCGCACCCTCCAACAGCCGCCATCCCAGGCAAAATGGCCTCATCTCAGGGCAATCTTAGATGGTTTATCACCAATTCACACAAACTTCATTTCACCAATTCAGGTACTGAGGGGGGGAAAAAGAACGCAGAAACACAAACTTTAGTAAATGCCTTTCTCCCCCTCCCCCAGCCTCTGTCTAAGCCAGCCAAAGCCCTCCTTGTCCTCATCTCTCTCACGGCAGATCACGCCCAGCCCATCCTAGTCCCTACCCTGAGGCCAGGGCAGCTCCCAGGGCAGGGCTGGGTGCCTGACGCTCGCCTTTACCACTCCGTCCCGCTCAACGCTTCTCAGTGCCCTTGGGCAGACGGGCTGCCGTCCCCAGGTTCCTGGTTTCCTCCTGCCCAGGTCTCCTCTGCCAGGTTAAACCTGCCCTTCTCTCTGCCCAGCAACGGGTATGGGCAGCCGGAGCGGTTCCTCAGCGCCTGGCTGTGCCCGGGGCGTGTTGTTTCAGCAGATGGGATCAACGGGCAAACACCGGTGCGGAGACACAAAGCCTCATCAACTCTGAGCAGACGGGAGATCCACCAAGATGCGCTCCTCGCTCGATCTGAGCTCAGGGAGAGGTCTTCTACGGTGGGGTTTAGCCAAGGCCCTCCGATCTGCCTCCCCACACCTGGACGTTGAGCTGGAGCCCCGCAGCGAGCAAGACAAACCTCCCCTCCGAGCAACGCAGAGATTCCCACCGCCCTTCCCCAGGATTCCAGCCTGAACCCCGAGTACCCTCACCTCCAAACACCGGCTTCGGCTATGCTTATGTCTGTCGGGACCCCTAAAGCCGCAGACCCCCGCAGACAACCGCACCTCATGACCTGCCACCTCCGGACTTCATCTTTGTGCTTCTCCAGCAGGGCACAGACTGTCTCCGCAGGGACATACCTGCTTCCATTGCTTTGGACCCTGCTCTTCTCGGATACCAAACACCGCTGGTCTCCAAAGCCACAACCTGTGGTGAGATTGCAGCTACTAAAGGCCAAGTCAGCAAAACAATCAGAGAAACTCATGATGCTACGCATCCTGTTTCAGTGCAAACACTCGCTCACGGATCAAGGGAAAAAAAAAAAGACAAACCCTTGCTCCCCCGCGCAGTTCCTCACCGCCAGCACTCGCTGGCAAGAAACAGCTGGCCGTGTTCTCAAGGACACAATTTACCAGGCTGGCTGTCACCCGGTGACGCCTGCAGCGCTGCTTCTTCCCCCAAGGCCCTGCCGCCATGTCACGGCCCCCGCCGAGCCTTCAGGAAACAGGGGACAGCCGAGTTGCCTCACAGCTCCGAGGGGAAACGCTCCCACTCCCGAGAGCCAACAGCAAAAACAACATCACAGAACTTCTGCCCGAAGCCTCTCGTGACGAGGTGGAGACCTCCTGTGAGTTCTTACAAATCACAGAACGGCAGGGCAGGGGTTGGAAGAGACCTCCGGGGATCATCTAGTCCAGCCCCCGAAGATCTCCGGCAAGAAAGCAACCAGGGAAAACTGAACCGAAACACTAAGAGATCCGCCCCGAGTTATGCAACGGCTTCGTGATCCCAGTGAAAACACATCGCATCCTGCTGGGGACGGCTGACGGCGCTGACACGAAACAGGAGGGACATTAAAGAGGAAAACCAATTACCTCACCTGCCCTTAGTTAAATGGAGCAGAAAAAACACGCAGCTGCGGAGAAGCGGGGGCCTGTGCCGTGGGAGAGGTGCCCGGAGCCAATGCTCGCACCTGGAGAAGTTTCTCAGCGTGTGAGTGAGCAGCGAAGCCGCTCCCCCGGGGCAAGCCTGGGTTTTTTCCACTGTCCTGCAACCCCATCAGCAGAACAGGCTGCCCAGGGAGGCTGTGGAGTCTCCTTCTCTGGAGATATTGCAGACCCGCCTGGACAAGGTCCCGTTGCAGCCTGCTGTAGGTGACCCTGCTTCAGCAGGGGGGTTGGACTGGGTGAGCCACAGAGGTCCCTTCCAACCCCGACCATTCTGTGATTCTGTGAACAGCGTGTGCTTGCCCACAAACATTTCAAAGCCGGTTTCCCGTGTGAGGTTACCGGCCGCCCACCACGTAGGGTGACAACCGCCCGCCTTGCTCCGAAAAGCCCTCAGCACCTCCCGGAGACAGAGCAGCAACTCCATCGCTGCTTCGCTCCATTATAAAGTCACTGTGCCTCTCCCGCGACTTCCAAAACACTTTGAAAAAACCCTCTCTCAACATTCAAAATCAAGTTCTGTTGGGTTTTTTTTAACGCCGCTTTGTCCTAAACTACTCCCAAGCCACCGCTGCCTTCCCCTCGAAGGGGGAGCAGGGGACAGGTCCTCTCCCCTCTCCCCCCAGCCGCCTCGCCGC